CAAATTCACCAAACATTACCTTTATTTCCTGAACTTGTTTACGTTTCTGAATGTTAGCCTATTTGCCATAATTTCTAGTAGTTCTACGGTACTGCTTGCCCTTGTATTATCTTAGAAGATTTATTAACAAGTGTGGATTGTCTCTAAAATATTATTTGATCCTATATTTCATTATAGAGCCCAAAATGAAGTTATTTACCTGCATATTTTTTGAGATTTATCATTTGTTTTTTTTCTGCAAATTGTAAGGTTAACAATTATTATTAATAATGTCATTTAAATTTGAATTGCTCAGATCAGTTGAGATTAGTGTATTCGGCGCACACACGCTGTTGTCAGGTTGAGCAGTACTTCCTTTAGGTTCTGATGTTTGTATTTTCTGATAATTATTGATTGCATAATCGACATCCTTTCCGTAATATTGTGTATGCATCGTCACCGGCATAAGGTTTGGTATGTTTGTGTTTGAATGGTTATTGGAATTTACTTTTAATTCTAAGTAATGTTTATTTTGGCAATGTTTCTAAATTCCCAGAATATTAAATTGCAACTTTGCAGTATAAGTCAAATTTCTTCGGAGCGGAACTCTATCTGATCGATGTAGGTTTCCCATTTTTCCCTTCAGCTTCAAAGCAGGTGTTTTAGTCAGTGTAATTTGTTGGAATTTTCCTGTTTTGTTGGGAATAATCACTGACTAGAACTATAAGGGATACTTTTGCTATTTTAGTTGTACCTTACCTTTTAAAAGTATCTCTGAGCCGTTTTATACGTGATTTTAATCTGCTCGTGGCTGGTAAGTTTTTTTTGATCGCCATTTTGTCTAGTGTGATTTGTACTATTCAAATTATTTCTTAACAGGGAAAGCCTTTTGTTTTATTTCTTTGTCATCGTCGATTTTCTTGGGAAGAGGAACATAAAACCACCACCTGTTCCAGTAATTTCTGCTTTCTGAATCCAGCAATTTGGACATCCACCTATTAGGAAAAAAACTACATTTTTTGTGAAGCCCAGCAAGGTAATTTTTTATGACATTTTCTATATTTCTACAGTTGCAACGTGTTTTGATTTTTAATTAATTATAGCTGTATGTTCCTTTTGTTTCAAACTATCCCTTCTAGGTAACTTTCTTTTTATTTCGTAAACCTAATACCGCTGTCGGTTTTAGGGCTTTTTTGGACTAGGATTTTTTACATCAGGATTTTTTAAGACCAGGATTGTTCCCACCAGACTTTTAAGACCAGGATTTTTCCACCAGGATTTTTCTGGCTTGCTTTTTCTGGCAGACGTTTTGCAGTACGTCTCTCTGGAAGTGATTTCCCTCTACAGCACTCAGCTTGGCAAATACGTCGCTGGATCAGATCGGAAGCAGAGACAAGTAAACGTTACTGAAAATTTTATCTTCCCCTATTGGTTTTTTTCCTTTTCTTACTTACCTTTTTTTTATCTTATATTGATTCAAGGTTCAAGAGTTCAAGGTACATACGGTTCGGTTTTCAATTTTTAATTAAATTTAGTATATATAACGTCATCAAATTTGGTTCATTTTTTTTATTTAATATCATTATACAATACTCAATTAATTTATCTTAATGTTTTATTCATCCCTTAATTTTTTATCTTTCTAATATTTTTTTTTATATACAAGTCTTGTTAGATTCCAAGAATATCTTGGGGGTTTTCTGGCTTATCCTGTGCAAAGCTAGTGGCGCTTAGAAAACCCACCCCATCTCTTCGGCAGAGCTAGAGCCTATTTGCACGCACACTCCACAGTTTAATAAGACCTTGTTTTTTTTATTTTTTTTTCGGTACTCTATAAATTTTTAATTTCATAATTTTTCTCGTCAATTTAATAATTTTAAAATTTAACAATTTAACATTTTTTTTAAACCAATTTCCTGCAAAGGAAACGCGTGGCAAATGTAGTAAATACTATACTTCCTAATTATTATTATTATTGTTATTATAAAGTGGAATGTAAAATTAAACGTCAATTTTACATTTTTATAATTTTAAAAAATTTTTGCTATGGTAATTTATATATTATATAATTAATTAATTTATATATTATATATATAATTTATTATATGATTTTTTACAGAGTTTTACGTTTTATTTTTAATTTAATAACTAACATTTTAGTGATTAATTGATTTATTTGTTTTATAGCTTATTTTACTTATTACATATTGGCAAAATCTAGTCCATTATAAAGATTAATATAAGCGTTATTATGGATTATTTATTGATTGATGTACAGGGTGGTCGAAATTGGTCTGTTTTAATAGAGAAAACCTATTTTCTGACTAGATAGAGCAAAACCGACATAGATGTCATGGGCTCGATTTCTGAGAAATGTTTAATGGCGTAAACCGCCTGTTGATATTTTCACTGCCAACTGAGATACGTTTTTTTTTAATTTTTTACCATTTCGAAAATTGCCCATTAAGGCACTTTTTTAGGCACAATCCAGTGGCGTAGTCAGTTTTTTTCTACGCTTACTCTTTTTGTCAGAAATAATAAAAAATACAATTTTTTAAATGGAAATCATAGTTGGCTATGAACTTAAAAAAATGCTGGCGTTTAACCTTTTCCAACGATATAAAATTATGTGTATTTATTTCTAAAAATGAGAGCAATATTACGTTTTTTATCTTTGTATCGAAGCGGGCCTTGATTTTGTGTTGACCTATAGTTGCCTAATTATTTTTTATCACAATTTAATATTCTATATCATTATTTATCTGAATAATTAAAGACTTTTGAAAAGGTAAATGAACATTCTATATTAGTATTACCATTTACAATTAAAAAGCCAGGGTTGCAACTGCACTATTAAATGGAGAATTTAGAGAGAATTGGATTGGAACACGGGATCCCATATCTTGGCCTGCTAGGTCCTGTGATGTAATTCCTTTCGACTTTTTTATGGGGGAAATTAAAAGGCCTTATATATAAGGGAAGAACCATTGGGACGAGAGAAGAATTACAGAAGGCTACTAGGCAAGCTTTTGGACTTTTTACACCAGTTCGCCTAATAAATTGTTGTAACTCAAAAAGCGCAAAAGATGTTTATTGTGTATTCAACAAGGAGGTGCTCAGTTTGAACATCTTTGATGATTTTTTTTAGAAAACTATATTCGTCACTCAACAAATCCTTTTTTTAGATTTATTCTTTGTTTATTGTATCGATTTCAATTGTAATTACTAACACTAATATAGAATGTTAATTTACCTTTTCAAAAGTCTATAATTAGGCAGATAAATAATAATATAGAATATTAAATTGTGATAAAAAATAATTAGGTAAATATGTCAACACAAAATCAAGGCCCGCTTCGATACAAAGATAAGAAACGTAATATTTCTCTCATTTTTAGAAATAAATACACACAACTTTATATCGTTGGAAAGGGTTAAATGCCAGCATTTTTTTAAGTTCATAGCCAACTATGACTTCCATTTAAAAAATTATATTTTTTCTTATTTCTGACAAAAAGAGCAAGCATAGAAAACGATAAGATACAGAATGTCCGATTTATTATAATTTTCTTCCAAGTTCTTTCAGCGTTTCGAATGAAATTTTGAGGGTAAGTTACTGTAAATACGACATATTTTAAAGCTAAAAAATGTTGACATATTCACCAGGGATGTGCATATAGGTTATCACTGGAATATTTTTCAAAAAAAAAACATGTGCGCCACTGACTTTTTTTTAAAATTGTATTGTCCGTTTAATGCCAATTAAAAATTATTATCTATTGATATTCTGTCGAATTGAAGATAAACGCAATTTTATTAATTACAATTAATAAAATTAAAATTAAAATTAAATTAATAAATTATATATTTTACCTAATTTATTATTAAATAATATTACTATTAATTATTATTACTATTAGGCCAACCTACAGCAATTTCAAATAAAAAATAATGGTATTTAAGATAATTACAAAAAAAACTAATTTTAAAAAGTTTTAACATCCTGTAACTCTAAAACTATGTATTTCCATACCCATGTTTATAGGAACTTTTTTTCATATTTTTTGATGAGGAATATCAATGAGTACTTATTTAAAACTTTCACAAGTTAATGATATTAATAATGATATATTATTATTATTAAAGGTTGCTATTAGACTTGGATCAAAGCAAGTTAATATAATTGCGTTTATCTCATCAAGGAGGCCGAAATCAACCAAATACCAAGAAACAACTTTTAATCGGCATTAAACTGCTTACACTATTTCACTAACAAGAGAAAAAAAGTCAGTGGTGTACATGCTTTTTTAGAAAAATATTCCAATAATAACCCATATGCACGTCCGTGGTGAATATGTCGACACTTTTTTAGCATTAAAATATGTCGCATTAATAGTAACTTTTACCCTCAAAATTTAAAGTACTTGTAAGTAAATTATAATAAACCGAAAAAATATTAAGATTTTAACACCCTGTAGTTTATAATATAATATACTAAAATATAATATACTAAAACAAAGCAGAATCGGACCTATGTTGATATGAAAAATAAATCTTATTTTTACGTGAGGAATGTCCCCACAAGAGATGGCACATGTTTTTTGAAACACCCTGTATAAATTAAAATGAAGAGCTGCTCGGTATCTTAAATTATACAACAAATTTAAACATTTTTGGCAAAATTTTATTCAGGTTTATCAAAGCAGAATCGGACCTATGTTGATATGAAAAATAAATCTTATTTTTACTTGAAGAATCTCCCCACAAGAGATGGCACATGTTTTTTGAAACACCCTGTATAAATTAAAATGAAGAGCTGCTCGGTATCTTAAATTATACAACAAATTTAAACATTTTTGCCAAAATTTTATTCAGGTTTATAAACTTTAGTGTCAATGTCGATATGATTGATGACGTGCATCGGAAAACGTTTTGCCGTTACTATAGGTTTCTAATTGTTGACCCCTTTAATTTATATTATCAATATTATTTGTATTACAAATATTTGTATTTTTTTTCAGATGGCTGCAGTGTGGTTCCATGTTTGTTATATCGAAATCCCAGCTGATCAAATTGCTCAAAGTGGACGAGAACGTTCGATACGATTCCTTGTTAGATTTAGGAGCGGGAGATGGCAAAGTTACCGCACATTTGGCGCCGCTTTTTGACAAAATTTACGTCACGGAAGTGTCAGAAACGATGAAAAAGCTTCTTGGCAAACAAGGATATCAGTAAGTTTAGATTGTTATTACTATGTGTTTGATGCCAAAAGAAAAATATATCGAATATTATTTTTATGAATAGAGAGCATGAAAAGCCCTATACAATACATATTACATACAATTACACCCAACGGCATTAGGTATTAGATAATATTATTTATCACCACGTGCCATGAATTGCAACACTGTTATGTTTTCCAATATACCGTGTTAGTCAAAATTCTAGACCCGGCTCAAAGACTATATTTTGGAAATTTTGGACATGGACATACAGAGTGTCAAAAAAATAATGTTTCTAACTTTGGTGGGTGATTCTACAGATAAAAATAAAACAAAAATTTCCTATGAATATATGCCCTAAAATGCTTCCCGAAGAAGTCACAACCCTCGAAAGGTTAAATAAAAATAATATAAGGGAAATTAAAATAACTTTCGTTGCACATCATAATACGACCACCAGCAAACTCCATAAGACGAGGCATGGTGTCATTGATGACGTGCAATGAAAGTTGTTCCAATTTCCCTATATTTTGTTTATTTTTAAGAACATTAGTAAACCGTTTTTCCTGAAATTTGGTACTCTTACACACTTAATGCGAATGCATAATCAAAGCGAATGGCGATTGTGAAAAATTCCGTAACAGCACTGAAAGGGTTCCATTAGGGTAAAGAGTACAACTGGTGGCACTTCTTTTATCCTTATAGATATAGTAATTTCAACAAATGATATAAAAAGATAGAACTTTTTTACGCAAAACAGGTACTCTTCGTTTATTTCGACAAGGTGACTGATTTTCGAGATATTTGCGTTTAAAGATTACGATGCATCAATTTTAGTATACAGGGTCGCTGTTATGTATGGAAACGGTCAATTATTAGGTAAAATATAGGAGGTACCGCAAAAATTTAAATATAAAAGTTAGAGGGTTTATAAATATCTATTAGCGGATAATAAATTGAAGTATACAGGGTCGGTCATAAAGTCGTGGCGCATCAAAATTTCATTTTTTTAAATGGAACCCCCTGTATATTATTGCGTATTTCGGTTCTTCCTTCAATTCTAAACAAAAATCGAAATACACACCATATGTATACCTCAAACCAACCGTTTCCGAGTTATTGACCTTTGAAAATATCACTTAAACAATTTGATTTAATTAATTTCGATATGTTCAGTTTCATTTAACGATGCCATTCTGCCGAAACTGTGATACTTAATAATATTTCACATTAGTTCTTAAGTTAGCATTTATAGATGTATAAAATGAGATTATATCAAGTCTGGAAATTACAAAATTTTCGTTAACATTTCAATTCTTCAATTTATGTACATTATGTATTACGATTATTGCTTAAAATTGAAGGAAGAATTGAAATATACAATAATATACAAGGGGTTTCATTTAAAAAAAATAAAGTTTGATGTGCCACAACTTTATGACCGACCCTGTATACTTAAATTTACTAGTAGCTAATAGCACAGAATATCTAGCTACGCAACAGAAAAATACTCGAAATGAAAGAGCTAAAATTGCACAAATAAAATACTAGATGGCGCGACAATATCATAATCAGTATAATAATCAGAATATAATTGGAAATTTTCAACTTTCGGTTTTGGATCGACGTAGATCGACGGCACGTCGACGGCCTTGAAGCTCGGCTAAAAATGCACAGTTGCCAGATTAAAACAGAGTTTAATTGGCATCCCATTCTTTTTCTGGTGTATAATAATTCCTTTCTATTCTTCGTTTCTTGTCAGATACACTTATATTAATTATTTGTTTGGCTTTTAAAATAGTTTTAATTTTAAGTATATTATTAGAAAACATATGCTCTCAAAATACATTTTTAATATACACTACTTTATTATGTTAACTAAGAAAATAACTTTAACTACCTTTAAAATTAATAATATACAGGGCGATTGATAGTGATATTTATTAATACTGAAACGTTAGTAATGAAATATACGTTTAATAATAATGGAAATGATTTATTAAAATGCAGTATAAAAAATGCTAATTGACTAAAAAAATACTATAATAACAATTTTTTTCTGTTTGCCACGTTATTTATATAGACCTAGGTAGATTTTAAAAAGTGACACAGGTACAATTAATAATATATTAGTTAAGCATAAAAGTTGCTGTCACGACATCGTACAATAAATTAAAATTCATAAAATAAATTAAAATTATTAATTAAACAAATCTTTATAAAGAAACACAAGTATATCAAATTTGGGCCCAATCGAACGCCAGGAAATGGTATCGTAATATGGTACTACATTATGGTACCCCTTGATATGCTTCATGCTCCCATAATATTGCAATGTCATCAAAAATACGCAAGTATAATCAAATATGAGCCCAATCGAACGTCAGGAAATGGTATCGTAATATGGTACTATATTAAGGTACCACTTTATATATGCATCATAGTAGATCCATTATAGTACCATCATATTACAATGTCACCGAAGATACTATACCAAGTTAAGCCCAATCGAACGCCAGCAAATGGTATCGTATATGGTACTATTATGGTACCTCTTGATATGCTTCATGGTACCATAATATTGCAATGTCATCAAAAATATGCAAGTATATATCAAATATGAGCCCAAATGAACGTTAGGAAGTGGTATCATAATATGGTACTATAGAAGGTTCCAATTTATATGCTCCATGGTGCCATCATATTACGATGTTACCGAAAATACGTAGTATACAAAGTTTAAGCTCAATCGAACGCCAGGAAATAGTATCGTAATATGGTACTACATTATGGTACCCCTTGATATGCTTCATGGTACCATAATATTGTAATGTCATCAAAAATACGCAAGTATTATCAAATATGAGCCCAATCGAACGTCAGGAAGTGGTATCGTAATATGGTACTATATTAAGGTACCACTTTATATGCCTCATAGTACCATCATATTACAATGTCACCGAAGATACTATACTAAGTATAAGTCCAATCGCACGCCAGGAAATGGTATCGTATATGGTACCTCTATCGTATATGGTACCTCTATGTACTATTATGGTACCTCTTGATATGCTTTATGGTACCATAATATTACAATGTCACTGAAGATACGTAATATACCAATTTTAGCCCAATCCAACGCCATGTATCGTAATATGGTACTATATTACGGTATCACTTGATATGCTTCATGGTACCATAATATTGCAATGTCATGAAAAATACGCAAGTATATATCAAAGACCGTATGATACCGAAAAAAACGGCGCCTAGTTGGCTGGGAAAAGACGATCAATGACATTTCCCATATAAATTTACACATAAAATGATAGCGATATTCATTTCATAGCCATCGCTAACGCCGTTTTTTCCCGATCATACGGTATGAACACAATCGAACGTCAGGAAGTGGTGTCATAATAGTAGAACAATACTTATTATATTGTCGCCGAATTACAATCAAAATTCAGGATTCAGTTAGAATCAAACGTCAGGAAGTGATTTTAATTCAGCTCGTAAGATTTAACTCCAACCACAGAACAGATACAATCGAGGGCTGTAATTTCTTTGGGGCTGTAATTTCGAGGGCTGTAATTTCTTTGGGAAGCGTTTTACATTAAGGTATATTTTAGGGCATATAGGAACTTTCTGTTTTATCTGTAGAATCATCCACCGAAGTTAGATACACTATTTTTTGACACCCTGTATTGATAGATAATCGCGGATTCAAAAATCGTATCTGCGGTGTTTCCAGACAATGTTATCAATTTTATTACATTTTTAAATTCTACGTAATATTCTGATCTGTTTTTCTAAACTTAGTGAATTGCTCGGACACCCCAGCTTAGTGACTATGAAGGGAATATGTCAAATGGAATATGAAAGAAGAAAATGTTAAATGTCTAAAGCCCAGCATCCACGGTGCGACTGTTGCGACATCTCAAAGACAAAAATTGCAAATCGGTTGAGCATGCACCTGTTTTGCAATCTCGGTAGCGTATAGTAATGTGAAGCCGCACACGAATCGATTCAAACGGAACTAGTTTGCAATCAGTCACAGATCTGTTGTTCGCGACCATTTCCCGCGGTCGTAGTTGCTGCATTTTAAAAATTGCTTGTTCTCGTTATTTCCACGGCGTTATTTTATATCAAAATGGGCGATCAAGAACTGAACATAGAACTAACATAGTAACTTATTTAAATTGAATACTACACCAATTGATTGAAACTGGTCCAAAATGAGTTACATCCGTGTGCGTGTAGAAGTTTCCTTTTAGTTGGAAACTGGTTGTAGGGTAAACTAGTTAGCAACCTTTGTCTCAAAATAGTTACACCGTGGGCGCTGGGCCTAAATCAAACTCTTTCGATAACACATTTACGCACACTAGTTATTTAACACAGACACGTATATTAACACCGTTGATGTTCTGATGAACACAACATTTCAACATCATATCCGAAGGCTCTACACATGGAATAGTCCAGGAGACAGAGTACGCAACCAGATAGATTATATTCTCTCTAACTCGAGATGGAGAACCTCGTTCAGGACAGTACGGACTTACCCCGGAGCAATATGTGGCTCGGATCATAAGTTACTGGCAGCAAAGATTCGTATAAAGTTAAAAAATGTTGTAAGAAAACCAAGATCAAATCAGATGGAGATCCCCGAAGTAACACATTTCCAACAAGAACTACTGAAAACATCGTGGAACATTAACGAGAACACCCAACCCCAACAGATTTGGATAGACTTTAAAAATTGCCACTTCTCGACAACTAAACAAAAGACAAAAAAACAAACATTGGATTTCTGACAGCACATTGCTAAAAATTGAACAAAGACGAACATTAGTGCAAAGTGGTATAAAAACACAAGATGAAAAAGATAAATATAGAAAAATAAATACAGAGATCAAACACAGTTGCACCATCTACAAGAACAACTGCTATGAAAAAATATGCCAGGAAATAGAATCTCACGCTTTCACAAATCAACCAGGGGACCTATTTAAAAAGATAAAGTACCTCACAAGAGAATTCAAGCCAAAAACATGGGCAATAGAAGACGATCGAGGACAACTTAAAACCGAAATTAACGAAATAGTGGAACGATGGCGAATATACTGCGGAACACTGTATAAAGAAAAAGATCCTCAGCCTAGTTGCTCTTTCCACAGTGATATAATTAATGAAGAACCAGACATACTGAGATCGGAAATTGAAGCAGCAATAAAAAACCTAAAACATCATAAAGCCCCGGGACCAGATCGCATCACAGCCGAAATGCTCCAAGCGTCGGGAGGTTTTGGTGTGGACATCTTGCACAAGTTATGTATTATGATATGGCATACTCACCAATGGCCATCAGATTGGACCGATTGTTCCATAATAACCATCCACAAAAAGGGATCTCCAGCCAAATGCGACAACTTTCTACCATTGCGCTAATTTCACATGTCAGTAAGATTTATTATGATATGGCATACTCACCAATGGCCATCAGATTGGACCGATTGTTCTATAATAACCATCCACAAAAAGGGATCTCCAGCCAAATGCGACAACTTTCGTACCATTGCGCTAATTTCACATGTCAGTAAGATTCTTCTTCATATCATTAACGAAAGGTTAAAACCGTATATTCAACCACAAATCCCTCCAGAGCAAGCAGGATTCACAAGAGGTCGAGGAACACGTGAACAAATTTTGAATATCCGTCAGATTATCGAAAAGGCCCGAGAATTTAACAATCCGCTCTATATTTCTTTCATAGACTATCGAAAAGCTTTTGACAAAGTCAAATGGTCAAAACTATGGATGGTTCTTAAAGAAATGGGCGTGCATCTTCATTTGATTTCATTGATCAAATACCAAAAGTAGAATTAGCATCAATGGCGTTACTTCGGAAGACTTCCAGCCTACCTGTGGTGTTAGGCAGGGGTGCATACTATCTCCTCAGTTATTCAATATATATACTGAATATATCATGAGAAGGGCATTGGAACATTGGCAAGGGGGGACAACAATTAATGGTCACAAAATTACCAACCTCAGATTTGCAGACGATACGGTCCTTCTAGCGGGAAACGAGGAAGAGTTACTGCAGCTTCTAAAATTGGTTGAAGACGAAAGCGAGAAACTTGGACTTGAAATTAATCCCTCTAAAACAAAAATTATGACTATCGACAGGCAAAACAACAACAAACCTGATGTAGTGAGCATTGGTCGTTTTGAGGTTGTAAGTCAATATATATCTTGGGTCACTTATAAACAACACTGGACGTTAGAAGGGGAAATAAGAAGAAGATGTGAAATGACAAGAGTGGCAGTGCGAAAACTCTCAAAGATATGGCGAGACAAAAACATATCTAAACACTTAAAAAAAAGCTTGTTCACTGCCTAATATTTCCTATATTAATGAATGGCTCCGAGTCCTGGACGATGAGACAGTCAGAAATGAAAAAATTGACGCAACTGAGATGTACTGTTGGCGACGAATGCTCAGAATTCCCTGGACTGCCCGGCGAACCAATGAATCCATAATCCAAGAACTAAACATCACAGAACGCCTCTCAACTTCTATACAGTCACGTATACTTAAATATTTCGGTCACGTTATGAGGAGGGATACTGACTGTATGGAAAAACTCATTATACAGGGCAAGGTTCCGGGAAGAAGACCAAGAGGCCGCTTGCCCTCCCGATGGATAGACCAGCTATCAAAAATCGCACACGCTTGTACATGAAGCACAAGACAGGGAATTATGGAGACAAACCTCACACATCACCTGACCACATTCCTTTTGTAGGAATAAAGACAGAGAGAGAGAGAGATGTTCTGATAGGCTGGCGTTACATCAGATACATTATATTACATACTCGTTGCATATTAAAAAATGATTATATAATAAATTATTGTATTATTGAGATACCAGACTAATTAGTTTGTATTTTAGAGTTTTAGATGTGGAAGACTGGTGCCAAGATCGAAAATTTAACGTCATTTCCTGTTTGAATCTCTTGGATCGTTGCAACGCACCATTAAGTATTTTGGAAAATATTAGGAACAGTTTAGCTCCGGATGGATACGTTTTACTGGCTCTGGTTTTGCCATTTTCGGCCTACATAGAAACGGGTAATAATTTTATAATTATAAATGTCATTATACAGGGTGGTTTTCACTCTACAGGGTGCTACAAATTCGAGATACAAGCATTGGTATCTCGGTAACCGTAATAGATACGAACATGGTTAAATTGGGACAAAGTTGCGCTATGGGATGTTCACCAAGATTTTTTTTTTGGAGGTGAAAAAAATACCTTTACGTACGGAGTGTGGGACTCAATCTCTCCTTAAGCTGCCTGGAGGACACTACCCACTAAACGTCACCCCCCGCTCCTGCCACGTCTACCTGGACCCCCGCATGGGCGCAAGTTCGCAAGTAGACGCCGACTGTTCCGTTGTTTCCTCATAGATGACCCCCTGCTCTTCGCTTTATTTTGCCTCTAGTATATCTTGGGCCAGTTTTGAGATGGCTTCAAAGTTTTCTCTTCTTTTCTGTTACCGATTCTTAAGAAGTATCTGCATGGAGAATTGTTGCCACGCCCAATCGCTCATGCGTTGGCCTCACATGCTTTCCTGTCCCCATCTGACAAGCACAACATTGTGTGTTCTGGCAGTTATATTCATTGGGTTCAGCACATGTATCGAGGCCACTTCCGCCGGGCGACTTCCGCTCTTGTCCAATCTTCACACAGGTAAACTGCCCAAAATTTTCCGTGGCCACGTCACATATATAGTAAGGATAGAAGTCTTACCTCTCCATGCTATTCTTTTTAATCCACATATTCTATTATTTGGAGATGAGCATTGTCGCGATCTTCCTTTTTAGATCAGCTTCCCTAATATTGATGCCACTGCTGGCACTGTTGCGGTTTTCTCTCCATCTCTTCTGCTGCACTGGTTTTGTACTTCACCCTTGTGAAAGAGTCGTTCTCTTTTTCTTGAGAGAAGATGCAAGAGCACCAGACCCGATATCACCAAGGCTGCCTCAGTTGAAGTTGTCCTCCGATAGTGGCCACAGACCGTCAGAAGGCCCGTTTGTAGGATGATCTCTCTGGCTGCCAGCATCTTCAAGGGCCCTCTCTCGTGTGCGCCTCAACCAGGTCTGATTATCTGTTTTACTACTTTCTTATACGTGCTGTCATATTGGTTTGCAGCCTCCGGTGAGCGTTTTCCAACCCAGTGCTCCTGTAGTACATTAGAATAATTATTGGCACGCACTCTCAAACACTCTTGGCTCTTTGCTGTGTGTGGGCCCACCGAACGGTTATGCGGTTGTAGCATGAACAGTATTGTGGACAACGCTTTAGCAGTTCTTTGTGATTTCAGACACACCTTCTTGATGTGCAGGCCCATCGTGAGGACCTTGGGTTAGCTCGTGAAACGATCCGGAGTCGCCGACGGTCTATGTGGAATCCAAGATAGCAGCTGTGTGACTACTTTACTGGCTTTATTATTATATCCTTAAATTTAAACCTGTATATGGTCAACTTTTCTCTTGCGGCTCAGTAAAATCACCTCTGTTTTTTCCACAGATATTTCGAGTCTGTGCTCACGCATCCATCTGTCTATGATCTTTAGTGTATCATCCACAATCTGCATTAGGTCGATGTCGTTTATTTTTTTGTTTGCATTTTTTACTATATAAATCAAGAATCATCGCGGGCGTAACAGATCAACTCTGTCCCACCTTGTACAGTAAGCTCCATGATACTGTCGTATAATATGTTTCACAGAGTTGGCCCCAGCACCGAACCCTGTGGGACGCCACCGACATACCTCTCTTCGTTAGTGCTCCTGCTATTGAGAATATAAATCTGTATGTATCAACATGTCTTGACTTAATTATGTTCACGCAAAATAGCCACTTATGCGTCCCATCTTCTATTTCTTTTATATAATGATACTTTCCAGCGCGATTCGCCGTCAATTTTAAGTGCACCATTTTTAATGTCGATCAAAATCAAAGCGATACTCATGCCAAGCCCTGGCTTTCTTTTCACGCATTATCCGTATTTTCCTTCATTGCATGTGTGGTGATTTCCCTTACAAATCCAATACTGGTTGGGATGCATTACCATTTCGTTTGCTTCCTTAATATTATTTCCAAGAGTCGCGTTATTGATGACGCTTTATCTCATGAGACTTTTGCCCGATTACA